TTCTAAAAGGCTAAACACCACTTCTAATTTACAGTGCTTTTCTTTCAGAATTTTTGAATGGTCGATGGCCTCTTCTTCCTTCTGACAGTGAGCTCATCACCCTGCATTAGACCCAAGTTTCCTGTAAATCCTTTGCAGTTCACTGAAGTAATGTGCACCTTCCAGAACAGCAATGTTATCACTAGAAACAGCAGGGCAAGAGGAATCACACAGTTGCAGGACAACTTTTATTTCCTTCCTGCTGTAAACCGGTTTACTATGTAATAGCATCGGCCTTCACAATGCTTATTTCTATGACTTAGTACCTATAAGTCTCAGCCAGATATTTGATCTGGGAAAGTTTCAAAAAAAGAAAAGAAAACTATTCCTGTAGAGAAAATAGAGGAGTCGAAAACGATAGCAAATCTGTAACTAGTGGGCTTTTTTGGTATTCAAGTAAAAACAAGTAAGTTTCTTCTTACCTATCTGAGGATACCTGAAAATGGCTCATCTTATAATAAATCAAATTATAAGCAAAATTTATTTTCCCTACTGTTGCATATAAGTGACTTTACTTCCTGCTTGGCAAGTGGAGAATCAGATAATTCTGACCAAATATATCAGGGTTTAAGACACAAACTTTTTTTCCCTTTATAAACCACTGAAATCATTTTTCCTTCTGAGAAGAAAAGGCTTCAAATAGGAACAGAAATTAAGGGGATTATTTAAAAGCAGAAGCTCGGTAGATGGGGCGTTCGGCCAAGACCCAAAGATCTACGTCACTGAAATTCCCCAGCATTTTCTCCCACCACAGCTCAAGCCCCTGGGACCTGCTTCCCACTGGGGCCCCTGGGACCCACCTCCCTTTGCCCACATTTCTCCTGCTTTCCCTGCAGCGTGTGGCATGGGGACCCTTCCTCCTGCTAGAATTCTCTCTTCTCGTGGGTGTCATTGCAATCCCCCCTCTCCTCTCTCCCTAGCTCTGGCCATTTCTCTGTCCCCTGCACTCGTCCTTCCCTCTTTATTCAGACACGTAGGCATTCGCTGAGATGATCGTCTCTTTGAACTTCTATTTTGTAATTTCTCTGCCTTCACAATTCATCACCCTCCATAGCTCTCTCTCCTATCCATATAAAGATGATTACTCAGTGTGTATCATTTCTAAGTTCCAAGTTTGCTTCTTTTGTCCCAGATATGTTTCTACCTAATGATCAAATGAACTCATGGGTTTATTTTCCCTGTACAATCTTCCTTCATTTCTTTCCCATTTTTAGTGGCAGCACCAAGGTTTATACCATTTAATATCATTTCAATTCTTCCCTCTTCTTACCCTGTGGATTTCTGCTCTCCTCTATGACATCCCTCCCTTCCCTTCTTTATGTCTTCACTTCTGCTTCTCTGACTGACTCCCTGTTGCCTTGAAGAAAGTGACAACTAGACTCCAAACACTCTCTTCTGGTCCCTCTGCTCTCTGCAGGCAGAGAAGTCTTCATAAATCCCAGCAGTACCAGGGATGGTCATCCTCCAAGAGGAACGAGCACAGGGCATAGTAAATACCATGCTCAGTAAATACCATGCATGTCTTTGCTAACCATTTCTACTCTGTCTCTCATGTCACTGTGTGTGATAACTTCCCACTCTTGTAAAGCCAAGTCACCTATCTCATTTTCTCTTCCCACAGCTGTCTTTTAACCTGTCCCACAGCCCTGAACCTAGAACCTCATGGTGTGTGTCCCGCATGTTAGATGTCAACTCATTAATCAAAATACTGCATGAGTTATCCTTGACTCCGCCCAGTGCTTTCCATAGAAAACTCTCAATAGATGCTTACTCCACTGAGCCTCCATGAGGAAAGATAGCAATGATGTGTTTAGGGTACATTATTAAGATTGCAAACTGCAAATTTGACACAGCTTTGAGACACATGAAATGGACATCACAATTCTGAGTGCCATGCTTCTTACAGAAATAGAAAAATGCAGACTTTAAATTCTCCAAAAGTTTATGTTATAATAAACCTAATTTTAGGACTCTCCATTGTCACATATGTGGTATAATAATATTATAAAACTACAGTTGTACACTAAACATCTTGATTGGGTAACACTAGAAATTCTATATTTACTCACTGAATAATAAAATGTTGTATAATATTATAATAGACATGATAATAACAAATTTTATTGAGAATTTATTCTGTGATGTGCACCACTTTAAATATTTTATACGCATTAACTCATTTTAATCCTCATAAAAACCTTACTAAATATATTATCATTATTTATAAATCAGAAAACTAAGCAACAGAGGTTAAATAATTCACTTGAGTTTCCACGGCTAAATGGCACATGTAAATGGCAGAGCCCAAATTCAAACGCTTGTATTCTGCCTTATTATTTTTCCCCTAAATATATTTTAAAATGTAAATAAAGCACAGAGAAAAATAAAATTACTCATCATCCCACAAAATTTATATGAATAAATTCTTACTTTCCAAAGCTAACTGATGTTCATATCTGATAACTTTTAGAAGATATGAGCTATGTCCACATCCTGTTTTCCCAGGAGAAAGGGTGGAGAAATAATACAGAAGGCTGAGATTAGTCCTTCTTGTGACCAGCGGTGCCCTGAATCCTTCTTACCAATAGCTACAGAGAGCACTACAGAGCTGCATGGGAACTCACTGCTGCTGGCAACGAGGGTGAGGGTAGACAAGTGTGATCACTAGTGCATGGGGCAGGGGCAACCCGCCCTACAGACATTTCTCTTCCTTTCTTTCTTCTTTCTCCAGGATCCCACTAGTCTCTAGACCAGGCCCGCCTCGCTTCAGCTCCTTTTCCATCACTAATACAACATACCCAACACCCATAACTGAAAGGAACAGGAGGTTACTTTGGCTCATGGTTTTCAGAGGGTTCAGTCCATGGTTGGTCAGCTCCAAGGCAGGAATAGCATGCTGGAAGGGCATGATAGAGGAAAGCTACGCACTTTGTGGCAGTCAGGAAGCAGAGAAAGAAAGAAGTGGGGTGGGAGATGCACCCTCCAAAGGCACACTGACCCCCTCTTCCGGCCAGGCCTCACCTCCTATCAGCACACTTAGCCATAAATGCACCAACGCTCAGTGCCCTGATGAGTGCAATTCCAGTACCATGAATGGTACTGGGTACTGGCTGTACCAGCACTGGGAGGAAGGTTACAACAAAACCTTACTAGTGGCTATCTCATCACACTAAATGACTTGCCATCTTATTCCATCACATGGTTTAAGCTCTTCACCCTACGCCTGTGTCTTCAACCTTCTACACCTTCAGCTGTGCTGAATCAGTTTTCACTTTGCCTAGCCTGCAAGATTGTTTCTACTTTCGCCCAAAACCATGCCATTTTTCCTAAATAAAACAAAGTATTTCTTTTATTATTCCTATTCTGTAATCCTTGAATGACATAGAATATAAAAATAATCTTATAGGAAAGCTAGGCACACCATAAATGGCTGTATGTGGGGAACTCCATGACAATATTCACACATCTGAAATCCATACAGATAAAATACACAGATATATAAAAAGTTTAGCCATGGAAATAATTAACCATAATTTCATGGAATTTGTGAGTCATTCTCATTAGTGGAAAACTGGAACAAACAAAATTACTTGAAAGAAATAATTTGTGCCAAATAAGTTTTTCCATAACTAGGGGGAAAACTCTAATGGAAATAGACCTATTAATATTATGATGAAAACATTTAGGAAAGAGATCTATGAAATGTTTTTAGTTAAATATAAGGTTGATAAAAAATGCAGCGTATGTGTGTTTAAATTTTTTAAAAATTTCAGTAAAAGACACATTGTCATTAATCTCCCTCAAAAAACTTTCCATTGTTTTCAACACATTTATCCCATCATTTTTCCATTTTCTGAAGCAGTTCTGAAAGTTCTCTTTTGTAAGTATCTTTAGTTGTCCTGTTGCAGCTGCCTCGATGTCTTGACTACATTAAAAACATTTACCTTTCATGATCATTTTGATTTTTGGAAGGAGCTAGAAAGCACATGGTGCCAGACCCACTGAACTAGGTGGGTGAGGAGACATCATAATGTTGTTACCAGCCTGCCTTTCCATTGCCTGGCACTTCAGAGCAGCAGTCTGTATTATTTATCACACCTCTGTGAAGACACTCATGAGAGAGGACTTCCAGAACCACTTCAGAATGTGTCAAGAACAATGACAGAAGTACATTTAAAGTGAGGGGGATTAATGGCAATGCATCATTTACTGTAATACATTTTTAAAATTTAAACTTTCACTTTATTTCATTCACTTTGTTTTTCCATCACCTTTCTGAATCTCTTTTTATTATTTCTTAAAGAGAAACAAACTAAACCTTGCTGGATTGCTTGCAGAAATACCTTGATTTAAAAATATAGCACGTACTAAGTTACTGTATTAATAGGTGTTAGTGCTACCTGCTGTCAGATCTGGGTAAACCTAGCTGGCTCTAGGTAAAACAAACCAAAATGATACAAATCATTTCCTACTCAGACTTTGAGAACAAGTTTTATTTAAAGTTTACAAATGTAGGAGCTTCTTATTATTTATAAATAAAATATTAAGTAAACAATTTTGCCTCAATAAAGGTAAAATAAAATGTTAGGGTGATCCTATAATTCCTGCATATGTCCAGGAGGTAGGAGTGGGTAGTACCGTAAAACCATCCAAAAAAGCTTTCCCAGCACTTCTCACAACTGTCCCAATGCAGCTAGGACCCGGGTTGGTGCCCAAACCCTGGAATCATGGTCCCACTGCATCTAACTCTTATGGCATGGCAGCAGTGCAGGGCTTCCAGGCACCTCTTACACTTAATGTTTTTGTTTGTTTTAGACACATTAAGGTATTCAGCAATCAGATTTAGTGAGGGAGTAGCAGAGAACAGAAAAGACAAGTATTAAGTCCAAAGCAGGGAACCTTTATAGGCACTTGTTTATAAATACACAGTATATTTTTCATGCCCATTGAAACATGCTTACCTGCTGCTAAAGTCTGCCCTGCTCCGGAAGCACTCGTTACACAGCCAATTGAATTGCAGAGAGAAACAGTGAACGCATAGATCCTGTAGGGCTTCAGTCCTCTGACGATGTAAGACAGCTCCTGAGGCTGGGCCTTGTGCAGTAGCTTCAGGGCAAGAATCACAACGGTCAGGTAACAGATAATCAGTGAAAAAAGCAAAATCTGGGCAGTTGAAGTTCCATGAATTCAGGAAGAGGGAATTATTGCCAGCTACTATTAGGAAAGGGATTTTTCTAAAAGAGTCTCAACAAACCAGGATTTAATTGATAATTGTACAATCACACTGTTTTATGAGGTAATAATCCAGTTCCTGAGTAGATAAATGAGAAAACCAAGTTATTGCCTCATAAAGCAGCATGGTAGCATGGTTATTGTCACCCATGGTAGAGATAGAGATGGTGACACTGTCATTGTTACTGTGAAAAAGTCCAACAAAACCATGGGGTTTGGTCAAAAGTAACCCAAACTAGGAATGCCACATGCTATTTGATGGCACCCAAGGAGTATGATGTCGCTGTTAAAATCAATGCCGTCATTTAAGTTTTTACAAAAGCCACAGAAGTAAAAGGGAAATGAAGATGAAACATGACTGAGCATCCACATGAGGTCAGTTCTCAATTATCTTTCCTATGGAAATTAGCATAGGCAGATCAGATCAAACAGTTACATTTTTTGAAATATTGTCTTAATCAAGCACTTTCAATTGAAAATAGCAGATTTGAGCAAAGGAGCCTGTGAGGAACTCCATAGTCCATAAACGAGTAATTACACAATCAACACAGAGGATCAATCCTATCGTTATGACTACAATTGATCAAAAACAGTATGTAAATTTTCTTAGGCTGTGGGTGCAAATTATATTTAGTAAAGAAGTCATTAAAGTGTAGACCAACTAGGAATATAAAATTATTTTATGTAGGGCTACTGACATATACTCATGTACCACATAATCAAATTTTGGTCAAAAATGGACCAGATTGATTGCATTTTTGACTGTGGTCCCTTAAGATTATAAGGGGCCTGAAATACTTCTATTGCCTAAAAATGTCACCATTCTAATGCAGCACAACATATTACGTGTTTATGGTGATGTTAGTGTAAAGAAACATGCCAGGTGTGGTGGCACAGGCCTGTAATTCCAGCACTTGGGAGGCTGAGGCTGGAAGATTGCTGGGAACTCAAGACCACCCTGGGCTACACAGTGAGTTCAAAGCCAGCCTGTGCTACATAGTGAAACCCTGTCTCAAACAAACAAACAAAACTGCTGGGCTGCCAGTGGTAGAAGAGTACAGCCCATAATTACGTATCACACTTAATACTTGAAAATGATGATGAGTGACTATGTTACTGGTTTATGTATTTACTATACTATTCACTTAATCATCCCTTTAAAGTAAACCATTACTATATAGTAATAGAGTGCTCTACACTAATTAAAATTAGTGGGGGGACCCAGAGCCATAGCTCAAAGGTACAGCACTTGCCTAGCATGAATAAATCCCAGGGTTAAATTTTCCACACTGAAAAAACTACAGTAAAGTAGGGTTGTATGGAAATGCACATGTGTCATTGTGATAATGTGTGTAAAATACCCAGTCCAAGGGGAAGACCCCCAATAAATGTTGCCTGTCATTATGAAAAAAAAAAAGTTTACTATAAACAGCCCTCGTTCATCTCATGTTTACCATGTTTCTGATGGCATCAATAGACTGCATGAAGCAGTTGGTTTTGATTATTTCAGTTTGTGTAGGTTCACTCTGGGGTATTTGTTCAGTGAAGTTTCCTAATAATACACTTCTCAGAACATACTCCAGCCAGTAAGTGATACATGACTGCATTCATCTAGAGTGATCTTCCATAAATAAACATAAATGCAGATAACTACAAAGTTTAATAACACTAGGAGTAAAGTTTTTGGTATTTTCCTTGGAGGAATAAAAAAAAAAAATCCCATAGAATATTTGCCTAAGTATTGAAATTAAAACTTTGCAACTTAGAAAGGCAACAGAAAGGTGAAAACAATAATAAAACAAAACACCAAATGATAAATATAGAAGAAAGCATAACAATTAAAGAGCAAACAGCAATTATAACTGAAAATGTACCTCAAATATCTTAATAAAGCAGATGGATAGACTGAATTGTTTAAGCTAAAAGATATGTATTGCGCTAATTGTGTTTTTATCATGAGGTACCTGCAGATGAGTCAACACATATCTGATTAAAAGAAAAGTACAAGGGAGCATAAATTAGTTACTGACTTTGTCTAGTCCAAAAAAATAAAATTTAGCGTCATGTATATGCTCTGTCCACTAAAAAGACTTAGAAAAAAGTGGCAAACCTATTACTAGTGGATTGAAGGATATCTCCTAAATTTTCCTGTCTACCCAAGACTCGGGACCCTTTGGATATAGGGTCTTTGCTTGCGTAGTTAGCTAGGTCACCCCATATTTAGAGTTAGCCTTAAATCCAATGGCCGATGCCTTCCTAGGAGAAATGCGGACACACAGGAAAAGCAGATGAAGGCCCTGTGATGACAGAGGCAGAGACTGAAATTCTGTCCCCAGCAGCAGCACCAGCAGAGACAGGAAGCCAGAAAGGACAAGAAAGGATGCTCCTCTAGAGGGGGTGCAAAGAACACGGCCCTGTCTGCCCATTCATCTCGGACTTCCAGCCTCCAGTGCTCTGAGAATATTGTTGTTTTAAGCCTCTCCACTTATGAAGATTCATGATGGCATTCCTAGGAAACAAATACTGCAGAGGGACTGAGATCTGAGCTCTTGAATCAATTTGGGGGAACCTTTGAGGTCATTTCAGCCCCAGCACTGCCCACATCGTCAGCTGAGGCCAGTTTTACGATGACTTGGTCAATGCACTCCTTATTCTTCTCAGCCCCGCTCCTCTTACTGCTGTGCATGTGCTGGTTCTGAGCGCACCCCGAACACAGGAGCCTGGAGCACACCTCCAGGGAACCCAACGTACAACAGCAACGCCTGGAGCGGCCCCAGGAAGGAGACTCCCCAGCTGGCTGCCAAGGACCTCAGCACAGGAATAAACCAGCGCTTGGGAGCCCACTGCACAGCTCTAGTGGTGCACCTTTTAAACTTCTGTTGAGGGGCTGAGGATTCAGCTCAGCAGCATAGTGCCTGCCTGGCAAGCGCAAGGTCATGAGTTCGATTCCCGGTACAGGAAAAAACAAAACAAAACAAAAAAAACTTCCGTTGGAGTTGGACTCCCAACTGCAGGAACTTCTTTGGGGGAAAGTTGTAATTTTAAGGACTATAGGAGCAGACGGCTTTTGCTGGCTGTTATCAACACATTCAAGAAAGACACAGAGAATCTGAAGATAATTAATTACCAATTTCAGACAAACTATAAAAGGTTCCTTATCATTAGCATCATGTTAAACAGATCAGATAACTAAGAAACAGCAGCTATGTACGGGTCTGGTAAAACATGTGCCCCACAGAGAGGGAGCTCAGGCTTCTAAAATTTAAGGGATGTGTCACCTGAGTGAGGGTTTTAGGAATCCAAGTTGCCTGAAGCACGCTAAGACAGCAACTGCAAAGTGAAAGAAAACTGCAGGATCTTTCTACCACTGAGAGGGAAGCACAACGCGTGGTAAACCTCTCCTGGGCCTAAGGGAGCAACTCCACACCTGGGTACTTCCTCTCCACGTCATCAAGCGGCATGGAGTGCTGCCACACCGAGTGTCTCCCAGACCAGGAAAGGGCTCCTCCCTGACCCAGGCTGAGGTACAGGCAGATGAGCCATTTGGGACATAAAACCAAACAGAGACTGTTGTGTTACAGGCAAAAGTACTACTGGAAGGAGACACAAAATAGGGCCTTAGGGTCCAAAGTAAGGCCATACTGTGTGACAGAAACCCTATGCCATTTGCTAGACACTCCTGGCATGTCAACGGGCTTCAGGTAAAGCAGAGCATGTCACCAGAGAACCCAAATGACACTGTAGTCAGAACTACTTTCATGACTTGTGTTCTTTCCGACAGGCCAAGTTTTAGAATCAGGTGCCACAGCAGGAATTCTTCCTAAGATAAAAGTGAATGCCTGGGATTGAGTACAAGCCCAACCATGAAAACTCAGGGGGTTCCCTCAGGACCCGAAAGGGGAAACACAGAGTTTAATTCACAGATGTGTTGTCTTGGTGTCTGACCACAAGTCAGAAAATAGTGAATGCTGCTCTGTAGCCCCAGTGAGGAAGTCCTAAAGAATGGCAGTGACAGAAACAATCTTTTCAACAGACAGAACCCAAGGCAGTGCGCCTGCTCATCTATTTTACTGGAAAATGAAGTGCATAAGGTTACACGTATGTGGACACCACACAGCAGCAGCTTGGTACCTTAACCATAGGGAATAAAGGAGACTGGAAAATCAGGAATAGGAATCCTGGGGAAAAATTGTGGAAATGGGAATGAAGTATAAGATCTTCTTATCTCCTGTTAGTGCCCCCCAAAGCTCAAGTCCCTCAAAAGAGGCACTGGGCAGACATGAACACAGACCAGCTCAGCCGGTGCCCTCGGCAGTCTCTGTCATGCCCACTCCCAAGCTGGTCTGCCAGGCTACAAAGATACGAAACATTACCCTTGCGTATCAAGCAGAGAGAACAGGGACCTACCATCTTCCGGGACTGTCCTGCGTATCAGGCGGCCTAGTTCAGGGACACAGTAAACCCTTGATCACCATTAGCTATCATAATAAGTTTCATTACTGCTGGATGGAATGTAAACCACAAGAAGGCATTATGGGATTGCATATCCAAAACCTTGGACATGTTCATAACTTTTGTTGTAATATGTGATAAACTATTTTTCAGAATATTTTCCAAAGAACTAGAAATAAAGATTTAATTAATGTATCAATTCTCTAAAATACATAAATATCAACTGATTATGAATGGGTTAAGTAGACTATTGTGTGTCTCAATAATACAAAAGAAATAGCTATTAAAAGTTAACTTCTTGCAAATATTTAAAGATGGGTGGAAAAAAATCAGGCCTTATGAATTAAAATTATACCAACTTTGTCTCAGTGTATGCTTATATTAGAAAAAAACAAGTGACTGGTATAAAAGGCCTTGTATGTAAATATGCTAAAAACCAAAATGTCCCATTTAACAGGTGCATAGGGAGAATTCTGGTACAGAATTCTGCAAATTCAGAAACTCAAATGAAGCCATAATTCAACTCTGAAAAGACTGTTTAAAAATAACAGTACCTGTTGCAACATCACCGGGGTAGACTGCTGTGGCAACTGCTCAGAAACCAGAGTGATGTTGTAGCCCAGGACTCTTCCTCTTGTAGCATTTTCTGGTGGCTTCTCCCAGGAGACATTGAGAGAGTGTGAGGACAGCGGAGAGACTGAAGGGGGCCTCATGAAAACAGGTGCTGTCCAAAGATAAGGACATCAAAACCAGAAATGCCAGCCCGATACATTTTCAAATCTAGTCACGTGTTTATTCCAGTTTCTGAAATGGCCTATTCTTTATAAAACATTTTGATTTGGAAAAAAAATCAAAGAGTATACTGTTTTATATATATATATATATGTATATGTTAAAAAATCATCTGAAAGAATGTTCTCCATCTTTATATTACAAGCTACTTTGCATTTATAGAATAAATATCTTATAGGAAATTCACAAATGTTTATAAAGATGGCTAGTAGGTAACTGAGCAGAAAACCATAGGAATTATGACTATTTGAAAGTAATCACAGAATCCGAGTATGTCTTAGTCCACAAAGTTCAGAACAACACACAATTATGTGCTGGATTGCTCATGGAAAGAAATATTTTACTGAGCCAAACCAATGCAGCCGGGGAAATATATAATTCTTAGAATGAGATAAATCTAAAATAGTCTAAGTAACCCCAAAGAAACGCTCCAAGTTTTCAATCAGTCTCAGTTGAAATGTGCAGGGTGCAGATACACCATAAGTCTTCCTCCCGCCTTGCTCGAGACCTTAGTAGAGCTTTTAAATGTGCTAAGCAAAGGTGTATTATCAAAGGACCTCATCGCACTTTCATTAGCCAGTGACCCATACCGTTATGAGGGTCCAGCATTGCAGTTTCATCCATTACTTTTCATTCCTGACCTTGGCTTTCCCCTTCTTGGTGCCATGGCTCATCACTTGTGCGATCACAGCACTATTATTTGCCCAAGATGGCTGGGAATCATTAGGACAGCCGCAAGCACACTGCGCATTTTATTCACGAAATGATTCCCTTGGCCATCGACCCAAAGCTACGCCAGTTCTCCACAGTTCTCACGGTTCACACTGAGATCAGGATCTGGGTTTCTTTGGATCTCTATTGAGCCAAAGTGAAACAAAAGTGTCATTGCTTTCATAAATGCTCATGAAATTTGAAGTGGGCTGAATGTACAAAATAGCATGGAAAGTTAAAGAAAAATAACTCATGTGCCTTAATGAAGATAGCTTGAAAAAAAGTTTGCCCTTCTTTCCCATAATGCCAAGGGCTTCTAGCCACACCTTTGAGCTACAGATTTTGGTACCGAGATGTCTACTATTGTGTACAGCCTAGTAAGCCACACTTTTGATTTGGAGAAAGAAAATCAAAAACAGAAGCAGAACTGTGGGATTGGTAACAGCTATCTGTTTCACAGGGATGAATGCGAACAAGAAGAGAGAAGTGACCAGCCACTCCAGGACTGGAAACCAACTGGCATTGTGGGACGCATTCCCCAAACACGATAAGTGCAGGTGAGTCACCTCCCCTTCCTTTATGAATTAAAGGCTAAAGCATTTACTTTTTTGCCTCAACTTCCTGCAAATAAATAATACATAATGAGTTATTTATGAAGTCAACCCATATGTGAAATTTTTCGTTGGCCTAAGTAAGTTTTAATGCGCGCTTTTCAAAAGGCACAGTTTTCCCGCTGCTTCCTTGAATGTCAGGCAACAATTTCATTCAAGGATTGATAGCAGAGCTGAAAGCTTTGGACCTTACCTGATTCTCCTGTTCTCTCTGAAATCCACGCAGAAGACACACTACCGACCATGTTCTCAGCTGAGACCTTAAATGCGTACTCTGTGTGTGGCTCCAGGCCCGCGACGGTTGCAGCAGTCTGAGGAGGTCGCTGTGCATTGCCATCAGCTGGTTCTGCAGAAGGCCGAGGGCCGAGCCAGCCACTGCTCTGAAACACTCTATGTTCCTCAGTAGATCCCGATCTTTTCATGTGTAATTCATATTTTATAACGATTCCTGCCAAAGTTAAACAACGGACCATGGGGACTCAGACAAAGGAGCTATTTTGGGGTGGTTCAGGGAGAGGTAGGTAGAAGGATGCTGGCTATTCATTTATTCATTACTCTAACTCCATCACCTGTCAATTTCATTAGTAATCTACATGTTGAAATTTAGTAATCTAGGTAACAGGTACTTATAAAAGACAACAGACTATTGGATTAGATGAATGCAAAAACTTTTTTTTTCCGGTACTGGGAATCGAACTCACGACCTTGCGCTTGCCAGGCAGGCGCTGTGCCGCTGATCTAAATCCCCAGCCCCTGCAAAAACTATTAAACACATTCATGGAAAAACAAACCAAAAGAGAGTATATAAGTACAAAATACCTACACTTTATCATAGGTAAATCAATCCTTTTCAGGATCCATGGTCATAATTTCTACCATGGATGACTAGTTCATTTAGAAAACCCAATAATTGTACCTCCAATTTGCATATTTTGAAATTTGAGGATTTTAATTTAATTATCTGTTTAATATAAGCCCTACTTGTATAAATATTATAGTTAGCTTTTATGCAATTTTACCAAGAAACTTCCAATATCTGAGGAAAAGTTTTGCCATAATAGGTACATGATATAAATTACTAAAAATCTATGAATATGTGGCTGGCCTGTATAACCAAGGGTTCAATCATATGAACACAAAAATTAACTTAATGGAGTCAGCAAGCCTATATACATATTTTTCATATTATTTTATATCCTTTTTCTGCTTAAAAGATAAAATTTACTGTTCATGGGTGCCCTAACTTGTGACACAGTCAAATATAATGCATTTCATAAATGAGCTTCCAATTATAAACATCATTTGTGTTATGGCAGATGTCATTAAGAGCAAAGATAATATTAGCCTTTTAAGGGGCAATTTAATTGAATGGAATTTGTTATTAGATTAGAAGAAATACACTTGTTCAACTAACTAGGAGAAACAGCATCTTGTACCTTTAGGATTTTTTTTCTCAATTAGAACAGAATTACATAAATGAATACAGTGTCCACAAGCTTCTCACACAATTCCCAATGCTGGGTTGTTCACTCTTGTTCAGGAAAGGGAAGGGGGACCTTGAGAGCTTACCATTCGGTTCTGCTGGTGGACCCCATTCTGCATGAAGTTCGGTGGAACTGACTTTCCGGACCTTGGGTGGACTCAGCCCCTTTGGCGGGGCCTGGGCTGTGGTCAGTGTGATGGGCGAGCCCTGGACACAGCCCCCGCTGGTGCAAGCCTGTACGGAAAACTGGTACTTGGTGAATGGAATCAACCCCCAAATGGTGGCTGAGGTTTCACGACCTTCATAGGGAACGCACGACGTAAGGTTGTCCAGAGAAACACAGGACAAAATGTATTTCTCTATAGGACCTGAATGATTTGAAAGTGTGTTCCAGGTAAGTGTCACAAAGTCAGAGCCGACAGGAATAATGTAGCTTAGGTTCAGGTGTCCCCGGGGGAGCCCTGGCTTTGTCCTGTAAATGACAGCTGCACTCTGGGCTGCGCCATGCACATTGGCGGTCTCAATGTGATAGGAATATGTCGTGTACGGTGACAGGGCAGTGTCTAAGAAGTACTGGATATCTGAAAGGAAAAGGAAAAAGGGAAGAAATTGCATTCCATAAGTTGGTAGAGAATTATTTCTAACTGCCCTCCCATTAAATTATTTAACCACATGAACTACTCCCAATAAACACTCATTTGAATAACAGTAATGTTCATACTTTCAAAAGTGAGATCAAGCAAATACTGAGGACTTTTACTATTCACTACAGTGGAAGCAAAGTGCCCCTTGCAGTAGAAAACTTAGAAGTTTGGTTTAGTTCTTGTTCTCCTCTTAACGTGTGCTTTGGGTAGAAGACTAAGAAGTTCTTGTTGTGCCTGAGACAGAAGACACTGTTCCCTGCGTGGAACTGCTAGTGCAGCAGACCAGCAGTCAGCAGACTAGCAGGGCTGCCCTGTTACCTGGCCAACACCTTGACTGGCCTCTTTCCTTATCTGGGTGATAAAAACTATATAAGATTAAAACTGATTATTGTTTGATGACATACCATAAAGGTCAGCATTTGGGGGCAACATGAACATTCCTTGCCTCAGCATCAATTTGTAATCATTGTTTTTTGTGGGATGTTTTGTACCAGGAATTGAACTCGGGACCTCGTGCTTTCCAGGCAGGCACTGTGCCACTGAGTTATCTCCCCAGTGTCAATTTGTAATCTTGACTGATGTCTCCTGGGCCTGCCGGTTGTCCCTTGAGTACCACCCCAAGGCTACTGGGCACTGCTTGTGGAATCTGAATGGACTCTATGCTTCATATGTCTGCCTTTCATATGTGATTTCTTCCACGACAATTACTCTTCCTCTACTCCAATAGCTGGCTGATTCAACTGATGGCACCTGCTTACTGTGTGGCCTTCTCAGTTCACATTTCCTCATCCCACAACAGGTATCACTGCCTTTCCTCCACCCCAGCACCACCTTGCCCTCTCTCAACATTCTCAGCCGACTCTGGTTGAACAGTTCAAGTACTGCCTTCTGCGACTTCCCTCAGAAAAGGGAACCTCGTCTTCCAGCTTCACATTTAGAGGCTGGGATAGCTCCTGGTTTGGAGGAAGCACTAAAAACAAATTTACTGAACAAATGAATCACTTTTCCATATGCATCTTAACTGTCTTCTGGGGAAGAATACCACGAATTGATAGTATTAAGAACTCTTTAAAAACAGTTGCTTGTTTTTTTCCTCCTTTTTCCTTGTATCTTTGGTTTGTTTCTTTCCCTCAGAGCTGAGTCATCTCACTTGTTGCCTTGAGCACTAATACTATACATAATAAATGGCAATGATATCAACAGCAGAAACAAATAATAAAGGCGTAAATGAAATCCCAGAGTTTACCAAGACATGTTATTGTTTGAAGTTAAATTTAAACTATGTTAGTTCTTCAGGTGTTAACAAACGTATGTATCATATGTAGAAGTAACCATCTTCCTAAATTTGCTGTGGGAAGATTTCCTTACAGTGACATCTCCCACTCCCGCTATCCCATACGAGGAGCAACTTACAATGACCCAGGAACATGGCCATGTTTCCACAACACAAGAGGAAAGAAAGAGCTAGACTTTCCCAGACAACTGCTTTCTTCCTCACAGCTAGGAGACATAAAACTATGGCCAAGCCAGATTAAGACCACAGCAGAGACAATATGAAGAACTGATCATGTTCAATTCCAAAGTGCTAATTTAACCTCTACACTTTTCTACATCTAAAAAACTAGAGGATGTAAATCAATCAAATTTTATTTACAAAAACCACTAAATATTCTCATTACTAATTATTGAGATACTTTAAAATTTTTCTACCAGGAATGAGCTGTTATGAATAACAAATTATGTGAAAGTTTTAGAGGCATTACACCACTGTATCATCATCCCAGGATTGAAATTACTGTGCTGGAGAATCCATGGTATTCAAAAGCCAGACAAGAAAAGTTTCCCTTCTAACAGAGAATTCTGTAATGGTCTCAACCAAGTGATCAAACTTGCTTGGAAGGCAACACTATTAATTTTCTTTGAAAAGTTCAGTGATTCTCCACCTATAATTCTAGATGCCTTTATTTAACCCAAAGATTTGTGTTCATGGGGCTGAATATAGGTAGTGCTTCCTTTTCACGTGACACATGCTAACCGTGCCCTGGAAATGGAGTAATAAACATAAAGTATTCTTAGAAGTATACAAAGTTCTGACAGTGTTCATCAACTCTTATTGCTCAAATGCCATCATGCAGATAATTTTCACATCATTAATTATACAGATTGTCAGGAAATGCCAGAAGTGGCATTTCACTTTTTAAATGAAAAACAAGGTTTTAGGAAATAATACCTTGTCTAATAGGATTACATAAATGTGTGATTAGTGAATGCATGTACATTTATTATGTAAGAAACTGTCATTTGGATTCTATATTAGTGAAATCATGAAAAGAGCTAGAGTGGCATACTTACATGCAATGTTCTATAAAACAAATCACAATATATTACTTTGAAAAACATGGATTGAATGGTACCACTGATAGCTTTAAATTTAATGCTGCTAATGAATTAACCTGTATGGAAAATAGGGTGACCCTAACTTGCACCTTCAGAAATAATTCAACCAGTGGTGCTGTCAACTTCAAAATCATTTTTAATATTTTTATAGCTCTTCTCTTCTTCTATCACAAAAGTTTAAGTTTCAGGACACCTGGATCATGCTGATATTTGGAAGAAAATAAACATTTTAGTAGCAGGTTTTTAGGGTGCTTTGCCAATGTGGCAGATGTAGACAGATGTTCATTTCCCCTTGCAATCTGCATCGTGAACTTCAGAGTTTCCATTAACTGCAAAGAACACTTTAAGCACCAAAGAGATATTTAGAAAGGGGAGAAAGTAATGGACAGGCTAAACTAGATGTAGGTGATATGAAATTAGTTACAAAGTATAACCTACTATAGAACATAAAAATACAATTAGGCTAAGCAAGAGATTTTAAGTCAACTAATATTTTTAAGTTATGCCTTCTCCTACTTTCAGAAATGCTATGCAATATCAATGTTCTGACATAGCTCTATATACATTACTAACTAACTATGCATGTTTAACCAGAATTGGGAAAGTTAAGTCTTAAAGAGAATAGAGCATAAAATTGAACTAGAATTACTGTTTCAAGGTTCCCTAAACTATATTGTAGCTAAATAGGACTAGGAGAAAAATCAGGGGAAACAAATTAAAAATTATTTTTATTCCACCTTTCAATTGTATTTGATATAGCTAAGTATTTTAAAATACAATAATTTCTCAATAGTTTGGATTCTGCAAATTTAAAATCTTGTGAAAGTTACAGTAAAAGGATAGCCCACCTGCCCTATGCAGATCATTCCTATCTCTAACTAAGTTCATGTTGCTGTCCTCTGCTTTATGGGACAAGCAATGCATATAATTACATTATTTGTTTGAATGTTAGTATTATGATTTCAGATTTTAAAAAATCCTCTTTAATCTAAAATTTAAAAAAGTAAAACTCTTTAGAATACAAAATTTAATAAATTTTCTGTAACATTTGCACCTGAGGAAACTATAGATTCATTTGTGCTTAGTTTCCCTGTGTGTTTAAATGAAATATAATTCACTGATTTTTTTAAAGAGCTTTAATTACTTCAAACAATGAATTATGAACATTTTTCACTTTTTTGTTTATTAACTAAGATATCATTTTACAGGCTATTGTAGCCTGCAGTTTATTTAAGCATGTATCAAGATTGAGTCTGTTTTGCTGTATATTATAATTCTAAAAGATTATCAAATGTTGGAATGGTTTGTAGTATTTTGATTTAACAAACAGTATAGTTATAGACACTTTGTGATATTGCATTCATTTACAACTATTCTTTTGGAATTAATCCCCTAATGCAGGTTTGATGAAACGAATGATACCTAAAAGGAAAGGCTTTCATATATTTTAGCAATTTATTGTACGTGCAAAGTGGTGGTGATGAGCCCCAAGCACCCCCCAGAGGCCTAGCAATGTTCCAGCTTCCCCACAGCCTCACTGGTGCTGAAAGGGAGCTGCTTTTTTCATCTCTGAGAATTTGATAAGCACTAACTGTTTACCAAAATATAAGCATCTCATTTTTATTGCATTTGTTTGATTACGAGTGAGATTTGCAATTCCCTCTTTCTGCTTGAAACCCTCTGTGTTAAACGGAGGAAACCACAATGTTTATGCTCAGTGTCAAAGAACTTAACAAATGCATCAATTTGAGAATATTATATCTTTTTGTCGCCCAGCCATTTAACTCACTATATGGGTACTGGTCTTCAGATGCGTATATTGCAGAGTCATTCCTGAATAAACTGTAGGTAAGCCAGCGGGCATTTGGGAAATCAGGTGGGCTCCATGACAGACTGATTGCAGAAGAACTTTGAACTTGTCCTCTGGGAGGAGGTTGCTGGGATGGAGCTAAATTACAATGGAGAGAGCATTTATTAGCAAGCAGAATCAATAAACAGAGAAGTAAACTGAAGTAAGATATCCGGCCAAAAGGTCTCTCTAACTCAGGATCACCTTATCAAGAAGACATGTGGTTTACCGAGACATTAATAAACAAAGAGTAAGCATCATGACTTCTCCAAAACAATGCTTTTTAACTATAAGCATAAAACAAATATGAGGTCAAAGCAGCTGACAAGAACATAGTTGGTGGAAAAACACAGTGATTTACATTATGTATTTCTTTCTTGGCCATTTTTTAAATCTGTTTTTGAGAAAACATCCAAGTATGAATAACAATGTTTTTTTTACTTAATTTAAAATGTGACACAAATTCCATTCACAGTTGAAATTTATGTAATACACTTCTTGGATGTTTTAAAGAAATTGTCCATTCCATTAAGCACAGTATCATCTTTTGCTTCATAGAGCACACAATGTAAAGGATAATATTTGCAGATATACATAGCCATCCACGTTAAACAATCTAAATATTACCAATTAACTCTTTAAATATACAATGCAAATATACCAGCACCTGCTATAGTACATTTAAGATGAAATATGATGTGCATATAAGAACATTATTCTATTTTAGTGATGATTTGTATTATACCAATCTATACCATAAAATCATTGTTTTCTGCTGTAAATTTTCTTGTCTCCCTAAGAAGACTCCTTTTTTCATAAGAGCAAGTGTCTTTCTTTTTTTCCCCAGAATATACAAAGAAGAAAATAACATCTACTATTTTTAAGGACAGGCAACCAAAAGATGACAAGACACAAAATCATCATCCATTTAGAGAAGCATAACCTAGTCAGACTCACTCATTGAGTAAGATGTCCAGGGCATGGGTTGTTGTGTTGCTTTTTAAACCACTAGATTTTTTATTAAGAAATTTTTACAAATCATGTGAAGGATTAAATGCATCAAATATTTATCAACATTTTATATGAAATATCTGCTGTCACTTGAGGACTCATTCAGGGTCTCAGAAGGAAAAAGAAATTATGTTTAAGTCCTTTGTAAAGAAGTTAATAAAGTGACTCTTCAAGAAAGTGGATGAAAATAGCTCCGTGGATTGAAGCAAGTTGGCAGCAGAGCTCCTTTACTATGTATGCCTGAGTCCTGGAGCCCACCAGAACCCTGGGTCCCATGGGGACACACCCTATGTCATGGCTAGGACTACAGGCACCATCAGCCACAGTGAAGGACATACGAGTGATATCCAGGGGACCAGGCATGAGCTGCCTAGAGTCCTCTCCCAACTTCATCTCCCACAGCACATTGTGAAAACCCATGAGGTGTTGCCAACCAGGGAAGTTCAGTGAAATCTCAGGGCTCAGGGTTTTGACTGGTTACTGTTCGCATTGACAACCTCTGTAATATATTAGAATTGCACCCCCAAGTGGAAAGCAGGTATTATACATAAACCAAATATTTTTATTTAGATGCTTTGATCCACTTTCATCGTCAGTTCTGGGCAAGGTGGATACTCATGACATCTGAGACGTCAATCAAGAGCAACCTTGTAAGCAGGTCTTCCTAAAGACGCAAACTCTTCTCTGTGTACATTGCCTAACCTGGAAGGGGACAGAGCTGAGGCACAGAAAGGGCCATACAAGCACCATCATCTTGCAGGACTGGTGACCAATGAGAAGGGGTACAGCCTGCTCAAGTCTTATCCTGCCTCAAACACACTGAGCTGGATTTTAATATTCTGACTTCCCCTTCACCTCTCCCTGATGGCTGGCGGGTTCCTCCTGAAAACCTACATCAACTATCTGAAAGTGAGAGTGCAAGGAAGCCCAGGGGTGTGGGCCACAGAGACCCAGAGGCCAGAGCAGGGTGACAGATGGAAAACAAGATCAAGCTCTCCTGCACACCAGGCAGCCTTAGCTAAGGGCCACTGCTTCCTCATCAGCATCCATGAGCGACACACTCCATTTTTAAGACACAATATAATGAATAACATTTTAAGGCAGTATTTCAAGAGCACGGAATATGCAACATTTAAAATTATACCTATATTGCATAGGATCCCCAATGACAATTCACCAGATATTAGGGAAGATAATATTTTGATTCATATTTTTAAAGAAAAATATTCTTTGAATACACTGGATACTCTAGACATATCTACATCATTTCATTCTGTCTTTCTCTCCCTGGGAAATTTCATTGTGATATTAAAATTTTAACTATGTGCCTTTTTAGATCAAGGACAAGAACAGTCATGATCTCAAAGGCATGTGTGAAAGAAAACCCAATTGTACCTGAATTGCACCTTACATTTTTGAATTCAGGAATTTGCCATTATTTGATGCAGTCCCTGCTTGGACACTGACAGTGTGTTTAATCTTCGTGCTGGCTTTCCTGTTGTTCTTCAGGAAATCACAAAGATTCATAAACTCCCACATTTATAGCATTTGCAAAGACCCTTGCAACCCACTGAAGTTTACATATTTAATGAATGTTAGTGATGTTACCTAAAAACTCTGTGTGCTACAGGAACACGAACGATTATAAAGGGGCAGCAATCAAAATTGAACGTTAGATTATTTTCCAAGACAGATTAAACTTAGTGGGTGACTTATGGTTTGGGGGATATTTGAAAGGGGAAAGCAATGCAATACAGGACACATATTTTTAAGATTATTTATAATAGTCACCCAAAGAATGATATACAAGAGAGTGCAGGAAATCTCGCCACACGCTCTAGACCAAGAATCCAGCTGAGGGCCTGGATCCCAAGGAAATGTCTTGAATGAGTCCAGCTGAAGACCTACAGTTCATAACAGTGCCTCGCACAAGTCCAACTGGAGGCCTAGAGCCCATAACAATGTCTCATGCAGGCCTGTTTCACGGATTGGCCTTGGGAAGGTCCAAAGGTCAGTTGTGGAATCTAGAAAGTCCGTGCCAGCGGGATGAAGGATCTGTGCTAGCAAGGTGAAGTGTCTACATTGGAGCCAGGAAGCGATGCTCAAAATAAGAACCACAGCTCCCCCAAAGGTACCACAGGCATCCTAAGCAACAGTGAGGTCCTGAGTTCCTCAGATGGTCAGAACAGCTGAGTTCCCATCAGGAAAGCCAATGCAGTGAGCTTCTCCAGGAGACTGAGCAGTGCACCATCTTCCACTCCAAAGCCAGGAAGTGATGCTCAGAGTGAGGACCAGAGTTCCCCCAAAGTGAACTGAAGCCATTCTCAGCAACAATAAGGTCCTGAGCTGCTCAGAGGATAAAAACAGCCAGGTTCATCAGGAAAGCCAGCATGACAAGGTCCTCCAAGAGAACCAACAGCTCCTTATAGCTTCTACCAGCTCCCAACAGCCTCACTTCTTCTTCTCCAGTTCTACCTCCCATGCCACCTGCAACAGTCCTTAGGTGGACCTCCCACAGTCAGCACCATGCCCACTCAATTCAACTGGACATAAGTTGACCACCAGTTGTCAGTCCACCACAGTGACTGAAACTGATATTTCAGTCCCACACCAAAAGGTATAGAACATAATATGTAAAACATGCGAGAGAAGTTCTTCGTTCACACAGGCTCCACTCCAACATTTAAGGTGGTTCATTGCTACGAACATCTGCAGTCACAATCTTATTTGACTTCATAGTATAAATAGGTGGTACCTAATTGGCATTTAAATGAGAATTCTCATAGACTTGAAGGTTTAGATGGTTTGACATCAGTTTAAAAATAAATATTATAAAATCCTGGACATAAGATAATTCAGATCTCCCCTTTATGTGCTCAAAGTAGAATTCTGAAAAAATGTTCACGCACTTATTCACCAACATTGCCAAGAATGGTCTTTGCATATGCCAGATTGTATTTTAAGGAATGATAGCATAACATTGTGACGAGATCCATCTGTTGGGAATGCACGAGCTTCAATCCCAGCTGGGAAACTTTGGTAGCTGTGTGATTTCAGTCACATATAAATTGGACTCTAAATCTTTTCTCATTTATAGTAAGAGCATGATAACATCTACCTCTTGGGGTTATTTTAAGAACCAAGTGTGTGCATGACTTTGTATGTTCATGTATATCTATACATGTGTGTGGATATATATATATATACATACATATATATGTTCATTCTTCAATAAACATTGCCTTTGTCTTGCCACCCTTAAAATATGTAGCAAGGCCTCCTCGTTTATTACATCTCAAGGCTTCTTTGGCAATGGGTATACATAAATAATATTTACTAAGGGAAAAATTATATTTTATCTTAATATCCTGATGAAAAATTGATCATACAGATCTCCTCCTCGGAATTCATAAGTCAGATGCCAGAAAAATACCAGAAAGCACATGGATAAACATCAAAGAAACTGAGAAGAGAAATAACTTTGTGAAATTATACTATAGGCTGCCTGATATACAGAGAGAATGGATGATGTTTCCATATTCAAATTTAAAATCAGATGACAAGATAACAGGCAGCAATGATGGTTGGAAACTGATCCAAATATTTAAATTCTTAGGTGGTGGCCCATTTGGCTAAAAGCATGGTGAATTTATGGACTGTATTATCAGTAGTAAGATAGGAGAGAAAAGAATGACAAGAAAGTCTACTGATCTACACCTAATTCTGCTCAAAAAGTGTTCACTGGAAGCAGAGAAGAGCCGGAAAAGACTAGATGAAACTTCTCTCCCTCTCTCAGCGTGGGGCACTGCCATGAGAACAGGGGTGCTGCAACTTCTTCCACCTCTTTGCTCTGTCATCTCTCAAGCTTCCGGGTAGGGGACCAGCAAGTCCACATTCAATGGAGGATGAGTCTTTGCTCTGTAATGACACAATCAGGGCACCCGACATGCCACTTTTTCTCTTATCACTTTTGACAGCAAATTAGTGACATAAAATGACCCTGAAAAGGTGTGACCATGAGCCCAGCGCTGAGTTCTGTGGATGGACAACAAGAGTGGAAAAAGGTAAATTTGTCTTTCACAGATGAA